ATTTTCAATAATTACCCCAGGAACAGAGTTTTGTTTACTGACTAAACTCTGAATCAGATCAACTAAAGTCAAGTCCTGTGAATAGGGCTTATTCAGGGACCTGCTGGGGATGAGGCTTGTTGGAGAGCTCCAAACGCATGTGCCCCTTTCATAAGCTGTTAGGCTTCTGGTTTATGCAGCTACTGTGGTTCTGAGGGTGATGGTTTTCAAGGATACTGTGGAGCTCGGGTGAGATTATAGGAACAAAGCAGGTCAAAACACCACAAAGCTTGTTCATATCAAGATTTAGCCATTTTTTCTTAAGTGCTCCTTAGATTGTTGAAAGCCTTTGATTAAATTCCAAAGTTCTCAAAAAGTTGAGCTTGACATATTTTTGCCAGAATTTCTGTTCATTTAATGGAGAAGCAGATTTTCGGAGGTCCTACTGTGCCATTCCAAAAGTGCTTTATACTATTCATCTTAAATGTATTATTTCATTTTTTTAAATTTTTAAGACATATTCTTTGCAATCTAGTGTTGTTTCTGTGTCTGCTTCATTTAGATACTTAGCGTCACTCTCTCATCATTTTTCCCTAGCTCCCCCTTATCAAACAAAGTCACTAAAAATATCCTGTGTCCAAATTGTACTCTTGGTATACTATTTATCTCTAGTCTGAGTACCTAAAAAGTACCTGGAATGTGTAGGTATGAAATAAATACTTAATTGAATATAAGAATGAATGAGCACCAATGCTAAAATTTTTAGCTGGGATGCCCCTTACTCATTAATACACCAACATATAAAATGCCTGTATATGTAGAGAAAATAGGTGCCCTGAATCTTAGATTGGTCAAACCATTCTTGGAACATTGAGATTTATTCTGGGCACCACATATTCAGGAGAGGCAGTGATGAATGAGAGTGAACCTAAAAAAGGAAACTAGGAAGATGAATGGGACAAAACCCAGATTATAAGAGGAAATGTTTAAGTAACTTAGGATGCTTAGTCATTAGAAGATAAGATTAAGAAAAGTGATTAAGGTCCTCAAATATGTGAAGACCTTTCTGACTGGGGGGACGAGGTTTGGGGGGGAAGAAGCTATGGCATTGTTCAATAACTTCACAGAACAGAAGCAGAACTGATGGTAAAGTTACAGAGAAACAAACTTTGAAAAGAATTTCTTAACAATTAGAATTGTACCAATAATAAAATAATAGGCAGATTCTAAAAGTAGTAGGTTCTCACTAACTTCTCTCTTAAATTTCTCATCTGTAAAATATGGATAATTAGTATATACCTACATTCAACAGTTATTTATACGTATTAAAAAGGCTTAAACCACATTACCACTCATATAGTACCTGGTTCATAATACACATTCAAATAATATTAGTTCTCTTAAAAAACTAGATGGTCACCTTTGAGAATGAGTTAACTTCATTTTTAAGACAAATTATTTCCAACTCTAAGATATTTTTTGGGGGGGGGGCAGGATCTAAATGGAACTTATCACATTTTATTTTAAACTGGCCATACTATTGCTATGCTCTTATAGCTCCACACCTCTGTCCTTTTTATTTTCTTTCTTTTTTTTTATTCTCCAACCCAGGTCAGTCATCACATTCTCTCCCATTCCATATTCTTTCAAATCTTCCTTTCTGTTCCTCTGTCATTATTATAATTCTGACTACAGATGGTCCAAAACTGACCTGTAGAAACACCTTCTGAATAAGTCTCCCAAACTAGACCATCCTAAATGTTCTAACCATTTTGTCATATAAAACTCCCTAACATATCATTTCCCTTCTCAAAGTCTTATTCTTTTCCAAGTTATTTTTACCTTCTTTTAGTCCCTCTTACAGTGTTTATCACATATTATACCTGAATCAACTGAAAATTTTACATAATTTGTAAGTGGTCTTCTACCCTTGTACATGACATGTTTATAAAAATTTGAGTGTAAGTGGAATTTGCAAAAATGAAATCATAAAAATAAAATGTAGTATTATCCACACAATAATATTACTCAGAAATACAAAGAAATGAAGTATTGATTCATGCTATAACATGACTGACCTTTAAAACATTGTTAAGTGAAAGAAGCCAGTCACAAAAGACCATATATTATATGATTCCTTTATATGCAATCTTCATAATAGAAAAATCCATAAAGACAAAGAAGTAGATTAAAGGTTGCCTGGGACTAGAAAGATTAGGGGGAAATGGGGAGTGGCTGCTAATATGTATGGGGATTTTTCCTGGGGTGATGAAAATGTCCCAAAATTTATTGTGGTAATGGTTGCATAACTTTGTGAATATAATTAAAATCATTAAACTATACTTTCAATGGGTGAATTGCATATTATGTAAATTGTATCTCAAGAATTCTGTTTTAAAAGTAAAATCATAGTTTTATGTTTATGAAAGGATTCTATTCCTCAGAATTAAATAGAGATAATGAAGTACCTATTATTAAGTATATAATATTAAATATATACTTATATATTTAATATATTATTAAATACAATTAATTACCATTCCTTTTAGGCATAACTTTGACAAAAACAGCTCTAATATATTTAAGAGTACTGTGAAATAAAACTGTGCTTTTCAAAATTGTTTTTTCAGGAGTGAACAAAATAAATTCTTTTTAGAAACCCAATAAAGCAAAAATAATCTGAAGTTGCCCTGGCTGAAACAGAGTGAAAAATCAGAACTCTCCCACTCCCACTCCTGCCCTTTCTTCAATATTGGCATCTAAGGAACCTCTACAGGGTTTGGGGGGGTGGGGGGAAAGAAGTTGGAAGTTGCAACAAAAAGCAACACAAATCCTACATAATAAAAGGCTAATATGCAAATTGACTGAACAGTGAAATGACCGGTCTCTATGATGCGCACTGACCAACAGGGGGCAGACACTCAATGCAGGAGCTGCCCCCTGGTGGTCAGTGTGCTCCCACAGGGGGAGTGCTGCTCAGCCAGAAGCTGGGCTCACAGCTGGCAAGCACAGCGACGGTGGCAGGAGCCTCTCCCACCTCCGCGGCAGCACTAAGGATGTCAGACTGCCGGCTTAGGCCTCTTCCCCGCATCAGGGGGACATCCCCCGAGGCCTCCCAGACTGCAAAAGGGCGCAGGACGGGCTGAGGGCCTCCCCTCCCTCCCCAAGTGCACAAAGTTCATGCACCGGGCCTCTAGTAATTGAATAAACACAAAGAAATAAAAACCCTGCAAACTAAATTGTTTTCTATCCAGCAGGCTACCATGCCATAATAGCCCAGAATTAGTATTATAGAAACATATAAATTCTTTTTGTGTAAGTTTGAATTTTGCCTCTATGATTAGAGTTAAGGCATGTTGTTTAAAAGTGTGAATTGTTCTAAAGTCAAGATTTACCTTTAATTTATGTATGTGTTTTTTTCTTATATACATGGATTAGGAACTTTAAAATTTTATTTATAACAAGAACAAATATGTAAACATCCCCAAACTAAAAAAACAGTTGCTCTAGTTCTGTGACACTAGAAGAGTTGCTTTCTTGGCACAATACCATCTATAATAATAAAAGAGTAATATGCAAATTGACCAAACAGCCGAACAGCAGAACGGCCATCCAGACGACCTTCCGGACAAAGTTGGGGCAGGGTTGTGAGGGCCAAGGCAGCAAGGGCTGCAAGGGCCGAGCCCCCGGGCATGAATTTTGTGCATTGGGCCTCAAGTTTAGTCAATAAGAAAAAAAGGGCAGTTTTCAACTCACTTGTACTTATGTAACTCATTTCTACTTGTATGGCTTATCTTACACACTATATTATTTATGACATATTATAATTTATACTAAGTTCTAATTATAACAAAATAAGAACTGATCATATATATGTCCCTCAAAATTTTTAAATATATTTAAGGGTTAAGTAGAATAAAATTGTGGTTTCAACATTGTTTTTTCATAGGTGGACAAAAGAAATCATTTTGGACACCAAATAAAGCCAAACAATCTTCTCAAGTTCCCCATTTCTACTTAACAACTCGAAATCACCAGACTGGCACATATACTGAAAATTATATTTGTCTTTCTTTACACTTATAGATTGTCCAAGTTATGTTCTTTCCCCCTTAGTAATATATTTTGGATCTTCTTCCTTTCTTGTTCCACAGCTACTAACTCTTCTTGAATCAGGTCTGCTTCTCCCACCTTTTCTATTTACTGCTTTTAGAATAGTCCTCAAGTGCTATTTCTATCATGTTATTTCTCTATACAAAAATTTACAACTGTTCTCTATAATTCAAATTCTTCTCAGTCTCTGTGTGACTATTAATTTTATATCCACTTGATAGGGCCATAGGATAACTGGTTAGACATTATTCTGGGCATTTTGGGATGAGATTAACAATTAAATCAGCAGACTGAGTAAAGCAGATTTTCCTCCATAATGTGGGTGAACCTCATCCAATCAGTTGAAGACCTGAACAAAACCAGGAACAAGTTAAGACAGAATTTTCCTAGCTAACAGCCTTCAAACTGCCATATCAGCTCTTCCTGACCGATGGCCTTTGAACTGAAACATCAGCTATGTAGATTTTGGACATGCCAGCCTCCACAATTACAACAAATACATGATATCAGATTATTATTCCCGGAACCTCCGATCCTCCATCCTATTGGTTCTATTTCTCTGGTGAACTTGAATATTCTCTGTCTATTCCAACTCTGAGGTCCCATTCCACCAGCTCGTTTCTTATTAGATCTCAATATATTCTCCATTCCACTGAATCAAATTTATTTGTCACATTCTACATAATTTACACAATTCCATCTAAACTTTATTAAATAACTGATATGTATCTACACCCCTATATTTACTTTTTACATATTTCTCTCCAGCTAAGCTGTTAAGCACTTCAAGGACAAGGGCCTCTATTTTCTTTACTCTTTTACAGACAGATAATAACAATGGCAAATCATTTGAAATATAGTATATATATATGTACCTTAAAACATAAATATATGTATATAAAACTTACCTCTTAAAGTCTGGTACATATTTTAATTTGTTTTTGCTTAGAATAATCACACTTTGTGTTAAAACTGCCATTTAAAAGAATCCTTCTTCCACGTTCAATTTGCTCAGCTGGGACACAGAAGAAAGTTAAAGACAAACTTTAGCCTAAGATAATTTAAAAGTATAATTGACAGAATGTTTTAATGTTGGGATGAAGTGCATACTTTAGTCTATATTTTTCAAACTCAGTTATATTGCTTTGCTAAAAGTAAACAGTACCTCCAGGATACCATCTGGTAAAAATCTCTTTGTGGATTAACCTAGAAAAGGAAGTGAATGAATTTTTATATATTACATAGTTGTGGTTGCAAAACTGCAGCAAAAATATGTTTTCAATGCACTGGTGTAAGTGAGACTTCAGAATTCAGCTACCTCATCTGATTTGATCCAAAAGGCTTGAAATATTTAAGGCCATATCTCATCAACATGGAAAGGAAGGTGGTTTTTTTTCTGCTAGCATTCTTATGATTTGGGGACAAACATAATAATCCAGGAAATTAAAGTCCATGAGCTGTAAAATATGAATTTGGTCTTTCAAAATTCATTAATTAAAAAAAAAAAACATGCGGTCCCATAATGATAGGACATAGCAAGACAGGGAAGTCTGATACCATTTATCACAAGTGGATGAGACCCAACGATGTTATTGTGTGCATCTCTCCCAATGCAAGACGGTCAGATTAGTTTTTACTATTTAAAAAAAATAATGTGGCATCCAAGCCTTGATCTAGTCCAATGACTAGAGCAATGGAACTTCCCCTCACCTCTCTAGGGAATCCATTTCAGAGACTAATAGATTTCACTGTCAGGAAACCTTTCTCGGATTCAGTCTTAAATTTCCGTTACTTAATTTCATCCCATTACTTGACTACATAAATCCCTTATTTTACCTTTAAAAATGACTTGGCTTCCATGACATTTGCATCTTTCAAATATTTGTGAAATGTTATCATAACTAGACTCAGTCAGAGGATGGACAAATGTTCTATGTTTTGTTATTTTAAACTCTTCCTACAAGTTAAAGTCTGAATTCCATTATACATTTATTTTCCAGTTTGAATGCTACTCAATTTACTTATTTGAGGCAGTTATGCCCTAAACTGCTATTCTCATTGCGATCTCAACAGTACCATTTAAATAACTTTTATCTTCCAGCCATATGATGTGAAGCTTTTGCATATACAGACTAAAATCTCATTGACTGATTTTACTCATATTGCATTACAAGATCATATATTATTTGCTACCCACTATCATCTGAAAGTCTCTTGGTATTATTGCTTTCCAAGTACTGTATATCCTGCCAATTGAATGGCTGTGTTTCTGATTATTTTCCCCCAGATGTATTAGCTACATTTTTCCAGGTTGAATCACATTTCATTTCCTGCACATATTTCTAACCACTTTAGGTCCCTTTTATCTGCCCTCACTGGTTTTGTCAACACTATCCAATTTAGTATCATCTGCAAATTTAATTAACATGATGTATATCCTCTCTTATAAATCATTAATGAAGTTTTTTTACAGTTTGTTTATTTTTTAAATTATAATGCTGCTTAATGTTTATAGTCTTGCTATATTCTTAAGAACATACCACTTTCTTGCCACTTAATATTTGTTTCCTTATTTTAGGAGTGGCTGATGGTGGACTAACAGAATCATGTTCAGTGTCACTGTTTTCCTTTTTTGAATATTAGTGCTAAATTATCCTTATGACTGTTCCTGTGCAGAATAACAATGCTTTTACTGGCATATTACTATCCTTCTGAAATTGCTACATTCTAACATCATGACAGCCTTACTATGATGTTCTCATGTCCATGCTATAAAAATAATCAGATCTCTTACAGCAAATTCTGTTGTGGAATGAGTTGTTTAAATTTTAGATACAAATTTACCAAGACAATATTCTATTATAGTAAATGAGTGAAAATTAATTTAGAATGCTTCTATTTTAAGTATTTTGGAATTGGTAACTGAACCAGTTACCAAGATGAATATGTTTCATATGAGTTGAGCAAAACTATTTTGTTCCTCCTTTACATTTATAACTGTAATTTCTTTTTAATATATTGGTTATTTGTAATTCCTTCCCTGTATTAAAACCTATTTTAATTTTATTTTTATGAGGAAACATATCAGACTTCTAAAGGTGTGTTTTGAAAACATAATATTAGAAACAACATGTGTGTACCTACCACCCAGGTTAAAAAAGGCCATTAACAGTAACCTTGGCAGCTACCAGTATATATCTTTCCAATTGCAGCCCCTTCTCTCCCTTAGGTGAATTTTATGAAAATAGTTAATTATTTTTGTTTATACAACTATGTGTGTATCCTAATAGTTAAGATGTATTTTTTCAAAAGTTGAATATCTGAAGCATTTTAGTTATCAATTTCCATCTTATATGAATTCATTCTTTTTTTCTTAGTATTTTTTCCTATATAAATATCTTGTGATATGGTTTCAATAATTTTGGACGAAAGCATACATTTTTTTCTTCAGTTTTTCCTTTACTTAAATCCCTAGTGTTAAGCTTTATATACACTTTTCTTTTCTTGTTCTTCTTATTTTTAAATTCATTCACCCTAACATATGTAGTTTTGGACAGTTTCCTGTGCTGCCTCTTTCTCACTTATAGATGTATACATAAACATATTTTTTATGGCGTAAGTGCCAGGAACCAATTCCAGCATGTCATAATTTTAAGACTTCCATCAAAAGGTTGATGAAACTTAGGGACTCAACAGGGTTGAGTCACACATATAGTCACCTGTTGGGAATGGCTGAAGGCATTTCCCCAAACCTGAATAGGAAACTGATTGTGGCTGCCAGACAGTTAAAGGGCATCTTAATCTACATGTTATTGCCTCCTACTAGCCAAACACCTGAACAGCCAGTAGGCTATTCCCCCATTCTGACAATGGACTCTGTACCCTTTGATACCTTACCCATTGAAGTGTATTATCTCCACCTTGCCTTAGGACAAATTGTGTTAATAAAAGCAAGGGTCCTAGACAAGGAGATGCACTCTCTTCAGTTCCTTTAGCTAAAGGTCCTCTGACCCCCAATGCCTTTCAAAATTACATCTCGTCTCCGGACTCTTTATTAGTCTCTGGATTTCTATGCCATCTACGCACAGCCCCTTTTCCAGATTCCTGAACCCTTCTTGATGCTGGGACATGAACCCCGGCACTTAAGTATGGCATACAGGTCTGATTTTACATACTTAAGTCAATCAGAGGATCCCTCAACCTTCTTTTCAGTCAAGTCTTACATTTCAGTGTATTTGTTAAGGGATTCGAAAATTCATCTAAATATACAAACTATATTTATTCCCTAACCTTCTACTCTTTTTTAGTTATCAAAATTTTCCTTGTGTAGTTTTTGGTTCCATTTTAATTTCCATTTCTTATGTCTATAGCCATGAACAACTTTAACATATTCCCATCTTTAAACCAAACTTAACTCAAATTTCATCCTTAAATTGTAGAGATATGACACAGTAGAAAGCGGATGAGTCTAGGGTTCTTTCATATTCTGCCCATTATTTTGTTACTGCTTTTTAAAAAGATTGCATGTGACATTTAGAGAAGATATTCAACTCTGTTTTGGTTTACAATAGAAAAATTTGAAATAATAAAAATTTATAATAACTAGGGATCTAGCTAAATAAAACATAAGTACAATCCTATAGTGGAATACTAGGAACCTAACTGATATTGGTAATTATCAACTTCACCCTGTTCGTTAGAGTCTCTTTGTCTAGTAATATCTGGGTTATAAGCATCAACCACACAGGGTTGGCCCACAGCACTTGGTTAACAAATACAAGGTTACAAAAGTCAAGTCACCACATTCTGGCCCCACAAAAGGACTGACCCATAAGAGGGATAATTCCGTGGTACCATTCACTCTCCATGGCACCCCATGGGATCACGCTGAAGGTGAGACTTCTTTTGAAATCAACCACACCTTTGCCTAGCTTCTTCCTCTGCCCTTTCTTGTTTTCCTCACTTTCTCTTAACAAATCACTGAACAAGCTTTGCTTCTTGAGCTTTGCTCCTAGGGGATCCAACCTAAGAGAACTGGTGGCAGAGTGGTCCTAAAAGGACACTGTAAGGGTGAGATTCTGGAGCTGATTCACTCACTGCAATGCTGGCTGCCAACAAGGATAAAAGTGGTCAGTGATGTTGGTATGCTATGGCAGTGCACCTGCTAAGACTTTCTCCTGGGTGCACTGAGATGGAATACATGTAGAAAATAATTCGTTGGCTTGTACAGTATCTCCAGATACTGCACAATATCAGATGAGATTTCAGGAATAGTCATTAAGACACAAGATGACTGCAGCTAAGGATGTTAAGAAACTATGTGACTATCAGACAGGACATCTCCACTGAGTCCAGTGATGGCATCTAGAACAACAGAATAAAATGAGATTAGGGAAAAAGACTCCCAACTTGGCACAAGCCTTCAATTAACATGGAAAAGTAACTTGGAGATTGGTAGATGATTACAAGAAAGCAAGATGGTCAGATTGCTGAAAGATAGTTGTGTCACATTTATTTTTAGCAGAGGACAGCAAAATGATAGATTATAAGCAACAAAAAGGAACCTGAACACTACTGAGCAATCAATGTCCCAGAAATCTGTCTGTACAATGAAGACGACAAAGTAGTTTCTGCTCAAGAGGGACCCAGGGGTAGTCAAATTCTTGCAGCAGCTCCAAATAAAAAGCCAGTGCAAGAATTATTCTGTGAAAAGGCTGAGGACTTAAGGTAATTTTTTCTCACAGGACAAGTTCCATAGGGCACAATGAACGGTTGAGGAGAAGCAAAACCATTGAAAGAGCATGAGACCAAGCACAGAACATTACTTGGATGAGAATTTAAGATAGAAAGAAGGACTACAAGGGTTAGTATTTGGGCTTTCAACGAAGGAAGATAGAAATATGATGGAATAAGGAATGTTAGTCAAACTAAAAATGCCTGGTACTATAGTTAACATTGTTCAAAAATTCTTTATTATGAGCTTATTGACTATTGAATCCATGATAACAATGAAAATTAAGTTTTTATAAAAAACCATTCAATTTATTATAAATTAATAAAAATAAGAAAGATACTTCAGATATACTATCTCATTACACCCTTTTGTGACAAATGAGAAAAGTAAGACTGAGAAGCTAAATAATTTTCTCAAGGTTGCACAGCTATTAAAGGAAAAAGTAATAATTTTTTTAAACTCACCTCTGCCTGAATAAAAACTATACTTTTATAATTATGCCTACCAGATGTTCAAGGTTCCAAATGTAAATTTAATAGGAACTGTTTAAATTGAGTCCTCAGTTAAGTGTGAAGGGCTTGACCAGCAGATGAGGATCTTTGCAAAAACTGTGCGGGTACCACCAAAGGATTCCTAGTTCAGATATATTGGGGAGGGGGGGGAAGTAAGTAGTTCATTTTTTAGAATCTTTTTTCTTAGCAAAAATCATAAGAGCCCCTAAAGCAGTGGTTCTCAACCTTCCTAATGCCGCGACCCTTTAATACAGTTCCTCATGTTGTGGTGACCCCCAACCATAAAATTATTTTCGTTGCTACTTCATAATTGTAATGTTGCTACTGTTATGAATCGTAATGTAAATATCTGATATGCAGGGTGTATTTAGGCGACCCCTGTGAAAGGGTCATTTGACCCCCAAAGGGTTCGCGACCCACAGGTTGAGAACCTCTGCCCTAAAGGGTGGAAGGACTTTCTTAATGGTTGTGGCATAAATTGGTGGCTTAGAACATTAATCCCAGAGAGAAGTAAAAATTCATTATTGCCCAAGGAAGACCCCCAATCACTTCGAGGTGGCATCAACCCATTTTTGAAGCTAGAAAAAATATGAGCTCCGACTTAAACTAACTGGGGGGAAAAAAGCAAAATTTCACTTTGAGGATTATCAAGACTAGTTTGTAGTCTCCGTTTTTCCATTTCATTTGTACAACCATTAGAAGGTGGCAAGGGTTTGGAAGAGTGGCTTAAAACCAAATTAATCAGTTTTCCACATCTGGCATTTTTGTTTGGGGAAAAAGTAATTGAGATTGTTGGCAGAAATGAGTTTCAAATATTTATTTCAATAATACCTCTCATATAAAACCATTATTTCTTATTGTACATAGATTATGTACACACACACAAAAAAAACACCCTTCAAAATGCAACTGGTCTCAGTACCATTTAGAGCAAATAGTTTCTTCTTAATACCACTACCTTCTTTAAGAACAAAATAGAGCTGAGAAAAGTACTCTGAGGTTTCTTCATCTTGTCAATGGCAAAAGGGCAAAAATCAGAACACTGTTTCACCATATTAATTTTTAAAGTCCAATTAAAGGTAACATCTACAACCTTTTTTCTGTGTGCTTGCCAAATATTTTAAAACATTAAACACAAAGTGCTGATTGCAAGAGAAAACAAAAGCTCTTGCTGCTATACTCTGCCAGTGATAAAAGCTTTGTCCTTGGGGGCTTGGCTAACATTTAGTCACACGATGCAATGTATATTATAAAAATTTCATTCTATTCCAAGGGCTTTTTAATCCAAGTGACCAAACAAGGCCCAATATTATCATCTCTGATTTCATTATCCTATCTAATAAAAGAAAAACATGGTAATTAGCATACGACTGCTACCCTTCCCATTGGCTAATCAGGGCAATATGCAAATTAACTGCCAGCCAAGAGGGCAGCCAGCAGCCAGGCAGCTTGAAACTAACATGAGGCTCGCTTGCTTCAGTGACGGAGGAAACCAACGTTCCCTGCCTGCCTTGCCGGCCTCTGAGCCTACAGTTTGAAACACTGTAACAAATATAGAAGCTAAACAAAACCCCAGAAACCTGCTTTCAGCGAGCCGGGGTCTCAGAGCTGGAGTTATACATTGTTTCGATTATAGAACCGAAACAAACCAGATACCTGCTTTCAGCAGCGGAGGCATAAGAGCTGGAGCCTCAGAGCTAAAGCTGGCCCAGAATAAAAAAAAAGAAAAAAAGGAGCAGTTGGGAGCTTCCATCACCCGCCAGCCTGAAAACAGCCCTCAGCCCCTCACCCAGACTGGCCAGGCACCCCAGTGGGGACCCCCACCCTGAAGGGTGTGTGACCAGCTGCAAACAGCCATCATCCCCTCACCCAGGCTGGCCCGGCACCCCAGTGGGGACCTCCACCCTGATCCAGGACACCCTTCAGGGCAAACCAGCTGGCCCCCACACATGCACCAGGCCTCTATCCTATATAGTAAAAGGGTAATATGCCTCCCAGCACCGGGATCAGCGGAGCCGAGAGGCCTCCCGGCACCGGGATCAGCGTGACAGGGGGCAGCGCCCAAACCCCCTGATCGCCCTGCGGCTCTGTGTGTGACAGGGGGTGGGGCCACAACCTCCCTATCGGCCCTGCTCTGTTCGTGACAGGGGAAGGCGCCCCAACCCCCTGATCAGCACTGCTCAGTGCCTGATAGGGGGAAGCTCCCTAACCCCCAATCGCCCGGCGGCTCTGTGTGTGACAGGGTGTGGTGCCCTAACCCCCTGATCGGCCCTGCTCTGTGTGTGACAGGGTACGGCGCCCCAACCACCCCCCCGCCCCACGGGCCCTGCTCTGTGTGTGACGGGAGAGAGCCATAACCTCCCCATTGGCCCTGCCCTGAGTGTGACAGTGGCGGCGCCCCAACCCCATGATCGGCCCTGCTCTGTGGGTGATAGAGGGCGATGCCCCAACCGCCCCCCACGGGCCCTGCTCTGTGTGTGACGGTGTAGAGCCATAACTTCCCCATTGGCCCTGCCCTGAGTGTGACAGGGTGCAGCACCCCAACCCCCTGATGGGCCCTGCTCTGTGCATGACAGGGGGCGGTGCCCCAACTCCCCTATCGGCCCTACTCTGTGAGTGACAGGGGGGAGCTCCCCAAACCCCTGATCGGCCCTGCTCTGTGCGTGACAGGGGGGAGCTCCCCAACCCCCTGATCGACCCTGCTCTGTGCGTGACAGGGTACAGAGCCCCAACCTCCCTGATGGGCCCTGCTCTGTGCGTGACAGGGGGCAGCGCCCCAACCCCGACTGGCCCTGTTCTGTGCGTGACAGGGGGTGGTGCCGCAACCTGCCCATCGACCCTGCCTTGAGTGTGACAGGGGGCGGTGCCCCAACCCCCCAATCGGCCCTACCCTGAGCATGACTGAGGGTGGCATCGCAACCTCCCGATCCGCCCTGCTCTGTGCATGACAGGGGGCGGCGCCCCAACTCCCCAATCGGCCCTGCTCTGAGCCCGACCAGGGGCTGCACCTAGGGATTGGGCCTGCCCTCTGCCACCCGGGAGCAGGCCTAAGCCAGCAGGGCGTTATCTTCCGAGGGGTCCCAGACTGCAAGAGGGCACAGGCCAGGCTGAGGGACCCCCCCGAGTGCACAAATTTTTGTGCACCGGGCCTCTAGTCCTATATAATAAAAGGGTAATATGCAAATAGACCGAACGGCAGAACAACCAATCAAAGCATAATATGCTAATGATATGCTAAGGCTGCTTAACCACTCGCTATGACATGCACTGACCACCAGGGGGCAGTCAACTGGTCGACCAGTCGCAATGATGTGCACTGACCACCAGGGGGCAGGCAGTTGACCAGTCACTATGACGTGTACTGACCACCAGGGGGCAGATGCTCCGACCAGTAGGTTAGCTTGCTGCTGGGGTCCAGCTAATCAGTACTGAGTGAGATGGGCTGGACACTCCCTGGAGCCCTTCTGCAGTCCCTCCCAAGCCCGATCGTGTACCGGTGGGGTCCCTCAGCCTGGCCTGCACTCTCTCGCAATCCAGGACTCCTCGGGGGATGTCAGAGAGCCAGTTTCGGCCTGGTCCTGCAGGCCACTCCCCTTGGGAGGGTGCCAGACGCAGGGCTCATGGCTGGCAAGTGCTGCTATGGCAGCACGAGCCTTTCTCGATCAGGACTGATTGGGTGAGAGCCTGTGGCAGGCACAGCGGGGCCAGGATGAGCAGGAGCAGCAGGTAGGAGCTGCAGGTGGCATTGAACTGCGGGTTATGACCCGATCCCTGCAGGCCACCCAGAAGGACCCCACCCGTGCACGAATTTGTGCACTGGGCCTCTAGTCTATATATATATATGTAAAAGCCTAAGTGACTGGCTGACTGGCAGGTAGCCATGACATGCAATGACCACCAGGGGGAAGACACTGAACACAGGAGCTGCCGAGCGAAAGCAACTTTGCAGAGTGCCCTCTGGCACTCCAGGACTCCTTGGGGGATGTTGGACTGCTGGTTTCAGCCCGATCCCTGCAGGCCAGGCTGAGGGACCCCACCTACCGGAGGGACCCCGCTCACTCCGCAGACGCCCTTCAAGCCCCAGTGCCACCCCAGGTGCAGCCAGCTGGGGAGGGACTGTGGCAGATTGGTGTGTCCAGCCTATCTTGCCCAGTCCTGCCCTGCTGGCCACCTTCTAATTAATTTACTTTCAATGTGCATGAATCTGTGCACCAGGCCTCTAGTGTCAGATAAAAGCATAGGCATCAGATTCTGAAGAATATTAAACAAAAAAAAACCACACCCAAACAAATCTGAAAAAGTCTGAGCTTAGAAAATAACTGCTTTAATAAAAATTGTTATATACTCTTAACTACACATTAACTTACATATCTTCATAATTTAATTCTAGGAATATGAGATTTCTACATTTGGACAGACTCTCAGATTCAGGGAATTTAGGTAAGAATATGGATTTTATACCCACATTACTACTACTCACCTTGCCTCCAACTATATCAGTTAGGAATGACTAAAACCATCTTGACTTAGTTTAGCAAAATGAGGAATTTACTAAAATGATACTGCAGGAACCAAGATGGTGGCGTAAGGTACAGACCTGTGCATGCTGTCTCCCACAACAACATTGAAACTACCAACTATAAGACAAACAGCTATCATTCAGAACCATGGGAAAGCTGGCCCAGTGGAAGTTCTACAACTGGAAGGAAAGAAAGAAGAGCATTGAGACTGAGTAAGATGTTCAGAGGCGCCAAGAACAGAGGTACGGAGTTGCACACCAGGCGGGCTGCAACTGGATGCACGGTTTTTTTCAATAGGAAGGGGTTACAAACTCTCGAATCCACTGAGCTTGTTTGGGGCGGGATTCTGAGGTCCCAGACCCCTACGGGGAGAGGTGGGATGGCCTTGCAGCGGGTAAGAAAGCGAAGGTGGCTCTTTCGCGGAGCTGCTCGCCGGCACTTGGGGACGCGGAGACCCTGAGTTGCGGAAAGGCGAGGAGTCGCGGAGATGCCATTGCTGTTTGCTCTGCCCTGGTGATCCCCAGAGACCCCGCCCTATTCAATTTAACCAAGCTGTGCCAGTGGCACAAAAGGAACCACCTGCGCTTTTGCAGCCT